AAGTGTTTTTTTTTTTTATCTTAAATGCAAAATGTTAGCTGTGTTTAATAATCTTGGTATAATTACTGCTCTAAGTGTGTCACTCTTTCAGCTAAAGGCATGTTTTTTTTATCCAGTTAATGAGTAATTGATAACTAAATTAGTTGATTATTTAATAATCGAATAATCATGATTAATCTGATTAATTGTTTTTAGCCCTAATCGGTTTTTGTCTCCTTTCATGTTATAAACCCTGAAAATGGTGGAAGTCCATTAATTCTAGTTTGTTTCGGGTCATCGTGTCTCACTGATTATTTAGTTTTATTATTAGTTTCCTGGTTGTCGTGTCGTTCTCTGTCTGAGCAACACTCTCTGGTTTTTGGTTGTTTTCCTCTGAGGGTGTTTTAGTCCTCATATCGTCGTATCGTTTTTATTTGGTATTAAACTCATATCAGACCTACTGGGGATGAGTTTAATGAGCATTAAAGCTCTACAGTGGAAAATCCAGTGAATTTTGATTCCAGTGCTGCAGATTTTGACTGAATTAAGAGAATAAAATAGCAGAAAATAAAAAATGAAACAAAAGAATAAAAAGTAACAAAGGCGTTTTCTAAGTTTTCAATAGATGATCTGAAACACAATAAATAAACTTAGATCTTCAGAGAATTCATGTTTAAAACAATCAAAAGAATTGATCCTGGAAACGGGCGATAAGAAGAAAGCGTGTTTGGATCAGATCCAATGACCTGATAATTGATGACAGCAGAGGTTTGAAATTTTAAAAACCACAGTTTCCTCGCTAAATAAACTGAAACTGAACTTCCAGTTTCAGCCTCCAGCTCGCTGCTGGGCTCCCTGCCGGGCCTCTCGTTTCCTGCTGTGCTGCAGGAAATGATGCACTGCGGCGTTTTCTTGTAATTCCAAATATTTCACGGAAATTACATGAAAAATGGTTTAAAAGATGGACATTTTGAAAAAAAAAACAACTATAACAGATTGTGGTATAATAATGTAATAAACATGTTGCCATATTTCTTCATAATGTGATTTCAGTGAAAGATTGCTGCGGACTTCAGTCCTTTTTGACAGAACGTTTTCTGGGCGTTAATCCTTTTCTGTTTTCTCCTTTGGGATCGCCTCGGACTTCATTTTAGGGACTTTGCTTATTTCTCAGTACCTCCTTCCTCCAGGGTCTACGTTCAGAAAGCTCCTTCTATTGCATTTCCATCCATAAACTTCTTAGTGTGTCTTGTGGAGATTGTGGCTGGGATGGCCATAAAATTCCTAACATTTTAAAGATTAAATCCTTGGTTTCGCGCCTATTGGAAGATCTGAGATCCCCCAGGTTGATCTGGACCCCCTGGTGATGTAGGTCAGACCCACGGTAACAATAATAAGTTAATAAACCTGACAGTCAAATAAGGAGCACACTGAAGGAGCAGTGAAGTGGTTTCTCTTCACTGACTCCCAGGATAGTTTAGTAGATATATTTTAAATCATTTTGTCTCTCAGGTCAGCTGACCAGTTGCTCTTAATGGTTCCCAGTTGAGAGTGGAGGCTCAGAGGGTATGGGGCCTTCCCCAGCGGGTTCCCATGCAGCATATATTTAAAGGAAAAGTCCAGTCAGCAAGGAATAATCAATGGGTCATTATTTATACCTAAAACTAATACGTCTGCAGTGATTTAATGAATTTACCATTAATCAGTAAAAAAATTATAATAATTTTCGTCGTGAGTCTGGGAGCGGCCATTTTTTTCCAAAATATAGTAGCCCCTCCCTCCTGCCATCTTCCAGCAGTGACGTCA